ACCGGGCACATTTCCAGACTCCGTGCTACTACTGGGTATTATTTTAAAAACCCAGTAGTACTTTGCCCGACCCGAAAATTAAACCCGAGACCCCTTGTCTGGCAGTCGCACTTGTAACAAGTATTGCTTCCCGATGCTGCTTCAGATCCCGATGCCTGACGCGAGTAGAGATTCGACTTAACTTGACACCTAAAATTAACCTTCAGTGTTTTAGTAATACCAACAACAGATAACTAAAAACAAAATGTTACAACAACATATTCAGTATTCAGCCTATTTTCAGTAACAACACGATTCTATTTAAACTTTACTTCAATATTTTATTAATGAACCGAAGCGAAATCGTGATCGCCCATCAATACCTTTCATTATGCCAATGGCCTTGGATATCCTAGGTAATCTATAGACTTGTCCTAGGTATTCAATACACCATTTTATCTTGGTCACATATTGTATGGTCTTTCTGTACAATCGACTGTCAGTTTATACTGGTTTAGTTAGCTTGATTGCAGTTGTGTGTAACTTATTCTAATCGATTACTACTGGTGACGTCAAACAAACATAGACACATTTACACTTAGTATTTATTTAAAATGGTCTGTAGGTGTTTCAGTTTCCATGGTAACGGATTGTTTAAGAATAATGTGGATATTAAATGTACATAGACTGCCTCGTTGGCCGAGTGGTCGCAAATGCTATTGCCGGGCAAGGGGCCTTGGGTTCGATTCCCGGGTCGGGCAAAGTATTACTGGGTTTAAAATAATTCTCAGTTGTAGCACGGATTCTGGAGTTGTGCCCGGTATATGGCAATAGGCTCACCCCCTATTACATGGGACCCATAACATAAATAGTGAAAAGTGGGTGTTATATTGTACAGTGGCATAATGTACACCTCTGCCTACCCCTTCGGGGATAAAAAGGCGTGATGTTATGTTGTCATATTCATGGCTTTGAAATCATTACAGGATCAAGCCATAATCGAATCTTGTTATAGGTTCATCTGCAAACACATTTCCTAGGCCCCCGTAAAACCCCTTACAGACGTCCCTGGTTCACTTAACACCGAACTCTTTATTCCATTTTAATCGAATATTCCACAGAGAATCAATCCAATCATTGTCTCTTCACATTGGGGAATGAGGGTCAAACCCAATTTGTGAGCTCATATTTAATTTGATTGTTTGGTTTTTTAATTGACCTATTGAAAACCAACCTATTGACCTATGTGTATGAAAGGGATAAACTTAACATAACATAACATCATGTCTTTTATCCCCGAAGGGATAGCCAAAGGTGCACATTATGCCACTGTACAATGTAACACCCACTTTTCACTATTTATGTTACGAGTTTCATGTAATAGGGGGTGAGCCTATTGCCATATACAAGCATCGGGGATAAAGGCCGTGATGTTATGTTATGTTATGATAGGATGATGTTTGGCCACCATCTGGCCTGATCTGATCCTAAATATGTAGAAAATATAAAATCATTATCAAAACATATCACTGTACTTTCGGCTAAATTGGATGCTATAAATAAATCTGCGAATCCTACTAGCTGTGAGCCTGTAGCAGAAGTGGTTTACCCAAATGCGTCTAGTATTGTTCCACCTAACGTCTCGATACATTGTGACCGTTCGCCAAGTTCGTACTGTAACGTTGTACCAAGCGGTGGGGTGACGATGGAGCACGTTTACCTTTCATCAACCTGTTCACTGGGGACTAGTTTAGCTATGCTATAATATTTGTCTTCCCTCTAAAAAATTAAAGGTGAAAACCAAAAATGTTGATTTTTCCTACATTACTAAAACAGCGTCTATTTTGAACGCACTAAATCTTCAATTTCCCTTCATCGCATCCCTTTTACGTACCATGCGTACGTTAATTGTGTATGTGTGTTTCATAATGTTACTCCATATTGTCCTAAACGTTGCCAGTAAGTGGTATTAATGTGCTTAGACCGAAATGTGTGTAATGCGTAGAGTGGGAACATGTGGTTTCTAGCTGTATGGGTGTTTAACACCGATTATAATACGGGACTTCTATAATCATTTTGGATAGGTGCATTGTAATCTCTGTACTTATAAATGCCCACTGCTGAGCATAGCATCTTCTCACACGGAGAATGGTTGAGCATTAATCACAAAGCTGGCTCAATGCGGGTTGGCGATTTCAAACTTATAATTAGAAATTATATGTCCAGGTTTCCTCACGATGTTTTTCCTTCACCGTTTGTCAGTGGTGTCTAAATAATCTTAGAAAGTACATATAACTCGTAAAAAGTCACATTGTTACTTGCCGTTGGTAGGTTTCGAACCCGCACCCTCATGCATAAGAAGCGGGCGTCTTAAACCTACGCGCCACCACGACCAACTTGCCTGTTGAATCTATAATCTAGCAATGGATTCAAGGGCTGATTATTATGGTCCTTGCGTTAATAAACTTTATCGTTCCTCTAAATTACTACAGTGAAAGTTGTAAAGCTATCAAAAAGTCAATAAACTCGAAGAATATACTTACTAACCCCTTCCAAAAATAACAACTATGTATGTTATGTTTGACTAATGACTTAATCCCCATGTAATACACACTATAGCAATTTATTCTAAAATCTACGTCTACAGCTATAAACTGGTACAAAACACATTAAAACAAGGAATCCTCTTAAGTGATTCGCGTGGGTGTCAGGATACGAGTGCGTACACGAGTAAGCGTTGAATTTAACAACCCTACAGCTATGAGCGATGTCTCTTTTTAGTGGGATAAATATTTTAATTTTGAATGACATTTCGGGCCTTTTTGTTGTTTGACGTAGTTTAGATGGTTTAATGAAAAGAAAATGTAACTAAAATGTTACATACTATAATGGCACACCTTGATGAGGGACTTCACTTTTTAACTCGTCGAGTACCGTCATTATAGACACAATTATATAACAATAGGTTGCGGTCACCGGTGACCTCATGGTGTTTGACAGTTTAATATGGGAGAATCATCCAATGAATTCTCCCGCCCGGGTGAGGCGAGAGGGAGTGTCAGACTCTTACTGACTAAAAACCACTCCATTCCTTCTCCTGCACTTCGAAGCGGCTGCTCTTCGTATAGAAAGGATTCGTATATATTTTTAATCATAATAAGGTTGATTTATAAGGCACAGGTGTGCGTCGACACTCGTATTTTATAAGATCGTCTATATTTTATAGACTTCGGCTTTATTATACCTTACTTTTTACCTACGTAAATGGAAATTGTATCACCAAAAATGGGACGGGGTCGACTTTTCGCTTTTTAATTTAAAATTGATCCAAGAGTAACGGGTATGAATGTTTACACCGGAGATTGATGTTTTAAGATTATCGCCTTTTGGACAGTAGATCAAACTACCCCAATAACAGATTGCAATTTCAGTTATATGTCAATTTTTTTCATTGCAATTTCAGTTATATGTCAACACAAATAAAGTTGAAAATCTTAAGAAGAAGTAAGTTGACCTGCTAGCCGGTGTATCTGCTAATACAATCAACCCAGATTTTCATCAATGTACCTTAATAATAGTATGAAATTGTTTGAGGAAAAATGATTAATGCCTACAGGATTCCTGGAAAGATGTTCGGGGCAAATGACAGTTTGTCCAATATTTGAGAGTAAGTGTCAGATTCGAATTATTTCTGGAAATTTTCGAGGTAAAATACAATTACGTTTTCGATTTCAAAATTGTCCGTAATGACTTAGACTTAGATATTAATTGGCATAAAGTTATATAATTATAATAAGGATTCACCTACTACCATATTGCCTTAAAGAAATCGATCTATCTAATGTTTAGCAAAAAACACTTCATAAACTTCATTTCAAAATCCAACTTCCACCTCTTTCTTTTTTTTAACCCCCATTTCTAAATACTGCTTCAAATCGGTTCAGCCAGGACAAAATGTACCTACGTACAAACATATAAAAATACTACCGACTTCTTAGTTTTTTTTTAATCAGGAAATTCTATAAAACGTAGTCTACTATTCGAATAATAACAAAACACAATCGAATAAAAGGACAATGCCATAATCCGTTGTTTTCTTGAAGCCAGCGAAGAACAACCAATCTTCTGCAATAAAACTCAATTTCCTATAAATCCGATAGAGGGCCCTCCTTCCGCAAATCGTCTGCTAAGCTCATTAGGAATTGTTTGTACTAGTTGTCTTTGAAAGGTTGATTAACTATGAACCTTGTATTTATCTTCCGTTGATCGAAATCTGAACTAAGTACAAGGTATGTTTGATCAAAATAACTGAAGCTGATAGTAGATCTTTGATAATTCGGTAAATAAATACACGAGGATTTCTATCGTTGGACTATTTAGCTGTTCTGCCTAAGTTATTATTTCTGGGTATTTAAATGTTCCTATGTTATCAATGTTTTTATGAACACATACTTATTTTGATCGGTTAAAATACCTATGTTAGTAAATAATTTCATGGGTGAAAAAAACGTTCTGCCAAAATGGAGGTCACATATCTAATCAATAATGCATACAGAAGATTAGTTTAAAATATTGAAGACTTTCTTTATCATAACATCACGCCTTTTATCCCCGAAGGGGTAGGCAGAGGTGCACATTATGCCACTGTACAATGTAACACCCACTTTTCACTATTTATATTATGAGTCCCATGTAATAGGGGGTGAGCCTATTGTCATATACCGGGCACAATTCCAGACTCCATGCTACTACTGAGATTTTTTAAAACCCAGTAATACTTTGCCCGACCCGGGAATCGAACGCGGGACCTCTTGCCCGGCAATCGCAATTGCGACCACTCGGCCAACGAGGCAGTCACTCGGCCTACGAGGCAGTCTTTATTTTGATTTAAATCATGTACTTACCAAAAACAACCCTTCTTTCTTTAGGTAATATAGTTTTATCATATTTATGTAGCTAAGTTAGTACCTGAGTTATATTGTAACAAGAAAATCACTCACACTATACATTTTCTTCACCAGGTCGACGCTGTACGTGGCGTAGGTTCCTAGGTCCTCGAGGTGGGACTCCACAGCATTCAGCAGCTTCCACCGAGACTGAACTGCCCCCAATAGATACAAGAGACCTTTGGATCCAAGATTCAAGGTAAAGTATAAATTCCAAATTCTACTTTAATATCACGTTTTTTCAGGTCTCTAAAGTCTTCTAAGGGTTTCAACAATAATCTTGTTGTGGTTTTGTCTTTGTGTAAAATTTTGTCAAAGTTGATCAAAATACATTTGATAAGTTAGTATTTCGCTCGTCGTAGAACTTAACCGCTTCTAAAAAAGAAGGTGTTAATATGAACTCGACAATGCAAATTTTAATATTTTTCTCACTTATTATAAAATTTTCGTTGGTACAATTACTTTTTATAGTACAAAATAAGTGTGTTTGTGTTTCATACAATTATGATTTGATTATAATCATAATCATTTATTTATTTATTTGTAGACCTAAGTTACATGGGTCACATAGATGTTCTTAAGTTAAATAAAGCCGGTTTAGTAACAATATATTTCGCCTTACTTGGCATACAAGTATTAATAAGTATAGCGTCAATTTTAATTCTATTAATATAAACAAATAAAAGGTATTTAAAGTCCAAGAATGTCAATTTAAATGAAAGGCATGTGACATTAAAATTTAAAAACGTCACAAATATATTGTATTTACTTTTAAATAATAGTAATTTATCAGAAACAAATAAAATTAATATTAGAAGTAACTAATTTTCCTCAGTCTACAGTTCGTTTAAAAAAAACGAAATTTGGAAATCTAATTTGGAATTCTATGTTTAACTATTTCTTCTTCTTGGCTATTCTAACTCCTATTTGTCACTTGTGTATAGTGGTCAAGGCAGACGTGTCTTTGAAATTGTTTGGTGTTTACAGCTTTAAATTTTCAGGGAAATATTGGAGCGTTGTTTGTCATGAAGCATGTTCATTAATTTTCTATGTCCATATTCTATATATTCTTTCTTCAATAAATGGTGTTTAAATATTATTCGAATGAGTGAATAGAGCCAATGTACGGGACTGATACATAGTTCGATAATTAAGTAGGAAATATGGGGGTTATCTGGAAAGTTTTCCGGGTGTTTTGAAAATCAGCAATTTAAAAAACCGTTGACCCACACTAAGATTTTCTCTTGTGTCGTGGGTACGTTTACAAATATATAAGTTCACATATACATCACACCCAGACCCAAAACAACAATCTATGGATCACACAAAGACTTGTTCCGTGCAGGAATCGAACCCGCGACACGTTGCCCAGGCACCGTGCTAAGCATGCAGTCTTGTAGAACTGGCAAACGCACAAAGGTGCAAAATGGAAATTGAAAAGAGCATATCAAAATCTACAAAATTGCCGATTTTCAAAACTCGACCGATCTAATAGACATTTGACATAATATTTACATTTATGTCAGTGAAATGACGTCAATTCCATATATTGAATCTTCTATATAGTTCCTCGTTCGACTAAAGTTTAAATTCCATGAGTTGTCATCAGGGCTGATGTTGCAATGTTCTCTTTGTGCTTCTATGAATGTTTGGATTTCAAAAGAAAATGTTGTATCTACGTCATTTAGAAGTGCATGTCGATGTTGCTTGTGTGTATTATGAATTAAATCCATTAGAATGTTATACTGTTTCAAATTTAAATTATTGTGAATTAGATCGAACTTTTTTCTTAAAATAAAATTATGGGAATCGGGATAATATAATCGACTATGTAATATATCGGCTTAAATATATGTCTGTGCATTATCATACTCAAATTAAAAATAATAGTTACAACAATTTAGAAACTACTTAAAAACTCATCCAAATATAAAAGTAAAAAAGTAGTATAAATATGATTAATAAAAGTATTACATAAATAAGACAAGCCAGTGACAGTCCACCCACGAACATTCAATAAAATACCGTCAGCAGATTTCGGTAACAGAAATCCTAAAAATAAAATCATCCCTTTTTATAACTTTTTTTTTTTTTATTTCTAAAGAAAACCGTACTTCAATTACTTAGAACTTCTTCAAAAAGTTTTGTGAGAATTCCGGGTACTGTTCCGGAGCCAAACAAAATATTATTTATATTCTAAAGGAGTGTTACAATCTGCTTAGGAACGAGGCTTTATAGAATAGATATTCATTTTGAAAGAAGTCCATTAAATCTACATTCAGAGGAATCTTTAGCAACGTGTAAGACTTCGCTTTTGGCTGCATTAGTGATAGTCACAAATGTGAATGCCGAGCAATTTGTCTCAAGCTCAATTTGTCTCAAGCTCAATTTGTCTCAAGCTCAATTGCCGGGACAAGCAAAGCAATCATCGTCATTATCATCATCAACAGTCGAAAGTTATCCACCGCTGGACAAAGGCCTTTTTTAAGGGGGGAAAATAATCGCATGACTTCTCTCGCCTGGGTGAGGCGGTAGGGAGTGTCAGACTCTTACTGACTAAAAACCACCCCGTTCCTACTCCTGCACTTCGAGCCGGAGCCTCGGTTACCCGTTAGGTTCTCCGCGACAGGCAAACCCATATTGGATTTATATTGTGGTTGTGAATTAAAACATAAAAAATGTATTACTAATAGTAAACAAGTATGTACTTAATACAATACATTCTACACATTTAAATTAGTCAACAGGTTCTGTATTGTTATTAAATTGAAATTTTTCAACTGCTTCCAAATTCCAACTACTATCAATTGTCAAATACTGACACAGGGCTGTCACGGATGGTTTATTGTATAGTAAAGTTATAAATTCATCGCCACTCGGCTAAAGTACTACAACATTTAACTACGGAACTCCAAAATTATACAAAACCATTTGTAACCACTTAATAGAAAATTACAAAGAACAGAGTACTGCATAATCGTTTTCCATGGAAACTTGGATTTTAGCGTTTTTTAATAGGATTGAAATTGCAATGTTAAATTGTAAGTAGCGAGTACACGCCAGTTATTCATTACGATGTTCTCCGAACTTATGTTGACACGTGTCATTTTGTTCGGAAATCCGCGCCTAAATAATTTAGGTGATAATCAGAAACGTGTGATTGTGGAGTTTTCTTAGAAAAATCGGCTTAGTTAATTCTGAGAACAACTGAATGAAACGTAATGGTTAATGCTTTATTGAAATTAACTTTCAACGTAAATTCTTTATTCATTTTAGAAATTACATCATTATAATGTTATCAATATTCCAATTAAATAAAATTTATATTAAGTAAACTTTTGGTATTAATCGAACATTTTTTTTTACACCCAGAAAAGCGTTAGAAAAGTCGAACTTCTTCTAGTATATTCGCTTTTCATTATTTTTTTCATAGTCCTATTGAGTACTCGTACGCAAAAACTGCGATGCATTGCGATGCGAATTTGCAACGCAAAAAATTGCGATGCGATTTCATGCGACAACGGGTCTCCCAGGGTGACCATTCCTTCGACGACCGTCAACCATACTAAACATATATTAAATTGAAAACTAGGTCGTGACATGGATCGTAAAAAAAGAGTGTGCTCTTCTGTTATTGCATAGACGACACAGGAAAAAGAAACAAAGAAGGTTTTGGGAAGATTAGGTTTTGATGCGGATGCGAATCAATTAGGAAGTTCTTGCGATGCGCAGAGGGAGCTCGCACGACGTCGCGTCGTAGTTTTGTGTACGAGTCCTTAGTTATAAGGAAGAGTAGCATAGTCCCATGCAAGTATAATTATAATAATCTTTAGACGCTATTCTAGACTACGCTATACTAAAACTAAGAATTGAATCTTGGGTTTCATAATCATCAGCCCGTATTCGTCCACGGCTGGACAGTGGACATAGGCCTCTTGAATGGCACGCCACTGAGCTCAGTCTTCAGCTTTTCCCATCCAACCTCTGCCAGCTAGCTTGCGGATGTCGTCACTCCACGTAGCTGGAGGGCGTTCTACACTAAGTTTGCCTAGAAGCGGTCTCCACTCTAGAACACGTTTACTCCAACGGTTATCGGTTCTTCGACAAACGTGACTAGTCCACTGCTACTTTAGTTTACTAATCTTAGATTTAACAATAACTTTTACGTCCAACTAATAAGGTTACTGTAATAAGTAAAAAATAAATTAATACAAAACTCTTTATTCGACTTAATCGTATCACAAGTCAACTATTAATTCTATTTGTCCCAAGAATAGAAGTGTCGACCTTTCGTTAACTATTTTCTTCGTTAAATATCAAATCGTGACTTTTAGGCTTTTGGCTTTTGGTTGAAGCCTTATTACACCTAAACTTAATTCGATAAATGTTCAAGTTATTTAATTTTGTAACTTGAGTTAGTAGCTATAACTACTTAATTAGTCTTTAATGTAATTAATTTTACTGCTTTTGTTTCTGTTACTATTTTGTTGGCGGTTTTACTCTCAATTTTGTGATAACAATATTATATTTATGTTTATTTTTAAATCAAGTCTACTGTGTAAAGTACATAATCGATGTACTGATTTGTAAAAAAGTTACAGCCGTTACGATTTATAAAAATTTCCTAACAGCAGCAGTTCATTATAGGTGTTGGGGTATATCATACTATTTATTATACTTAGCTTTATTATATTATATTTAGCATTATACTTAGCTTTCTTAATGGAAGATGCATTATGCATATGAACTTAAAAAAAATACCTAATATTTTGAATTTGTTATGGATTATTTTTGAAAAAAAAAACATAAAAATTCAATATAATCCATAATTTGAAACATACTAGAGATAGTATACAAATTTTTACAGTAAACATCGTAGCAAAGTGAAAGCTGTACATACATCGAATATTTTTAAAAAGAATGCTTTGAAAGAAAAAATATGGTTTTTTAAATTTTTGTCTGTTTGTATGTATGTATGTCCGGGATAAACTCAAAAAGTACTGCATGGATTTACTTCAAATTCTGCATGAATATTACTAACAGATCGGGTCAACATATAGGCTACATATTATCATACTATCAACTACGGGGGAGGAGCTGTGAATCACTATTTCACGCGGACAAAGTTGCGGGCTCAGCTAGTTTATAAAATTTTTCTGTAGACCAAGAAGCAATTTAACATCTACCGTTTTTTCCTCG